ACATTCTGTGGTAAACGTTGAAACCACATCTGTTTAAGCAATGCATCGTCTACCTTATATGGCCCTGCTAAGTGTTTCATATGTCGGAGTAATTGCGAGGGTCTCTTGTCCCCCAATTCGCAAGAAGTTAGCAATTGCTGCAGTCTTCTCTCATCTGAAACCGAGGTGCGTTGGATTACGGCTGTCTTTAATTTATCATAAGGTTCAGCTTCTGGCACGTGATCGATTAAATCTCCGACTTCCGCAGCAATCTCGATAGGGAGTGCCCCAACTACATAAGCATACTTTGTTGCCTGAGATTTTATACCTCTAGCCATGAACAAAGCTTCGATTTGTGCAAACCAGATTCTTGGATTATTAACGCCGAACGTTGGTAGTCTTAAGTCTAAAATTGCGTTGATCGAGGTTAAGGCATTATCTTCTGACTGTGAAGAGTTAAAGGAGTTGATCAGTGGACTATCTATATCAATGAGTTTACCAGGAGAGTTCATGATGGCAAAAACAAATATAAATGAACTAGCGTGCCAAGTAATAAAAAAAATGAATATATATATAAACAGTAAACGTCTATAATGAATTCAAGGCTCACCAAATAATTGTGGTGGACCAAACAGATATGAACACAAAAAATATAAACAAAGTTATTAAAAATCAATAGTAATATTAATATATATAATTAATTGTCACAAATACAGTAAAAATTGGGGACGTTACTTAAATTGATCAGACGTCGCGTGTTAGGGTTAGGTCCAGTAAAGTAAATCCACAATTATAAATGTTTGTTGATTCTGAACAAGTTGGTGAACTCTCTAATGATATAATCCAACGTTGAATGTGATATATTTCGGTTACAGTCTATAAATGAAGATAGAATTTGATTTAGACTTCGGATATCTCAATCACAAATGGAAGTAGAACGATGAGTGTGCGAGAAGCGTTGTATTTGTTAGCTAGCAGCGGTATGGCACGCAATGTAGCAGTACAACGGAAAGTGTGTTCAAGGTCATTTACTAAAACAACAGTTACAGTCATTTAATGTTAAATATACATACAGTGGAAGGTTGACAAAGTAAATACAAATAACATTGAAAACTATTTACAAAATAAGCTTGACAGGTCCATCTCCACAAAACGATACCGCGTTATTCACTTAGCTACTCAGTCCTGATAGCCACAAGCTTGTGCAATGGGGTGAAGTGTAAATTCATTTGGTATTGTTTGTTTGAATCTGCCATTGATGTTTAGGGCTGCAATTGATCACTCTCTTAACGCGATGGCGTTTGAAGCAAAAGGTACTGGGTTTGAGTCCCGAAGTGAACATCAATTCCAGGATGCAGGTAAATCCAGCTGACGAGTCACATATAAGATGATATGCACGTTCTGATTTTCATTGTTAATCACATTTATCAAGTATAATATAGGAGAGGAGTTGAATAAATTCTCGATTGTCATTAATATCTTCAATCGAGCAATAGATCAATTAAGTTACTCATCCATATATATTTTAACGCATCCTTAATTCCAGTTTCATTTTCACCTTTGATATATTTTTCTCCACACTTACTTTCCATCATGTATGATATATTTGTTTGATTTAAATCAACCTTATTTAAAAAAAATTCCTTTCATGGTCATTGGGTAGTTTATTCACCTTTTGTAACGGTTGACAATTATCACTTTGTAATTAGTTAACTGAATCTTTTTCATATTCCTTTTGGGAATCTTAAACTAGAAAGATACGGAAAAATTTGTAAATTATGGCGAATTAGCGCTTATATAGGGTTTTTCATAGGGTATAAATGGCTTTAAATCACAATGAGTTATATAATTGTACATAAAAAAACTAATTTGGTTGTTGTAGCTGAAGCAAAACAAATCAGATGAACAAAATACAAAGTGTAAGATAGATATTTTGCTAATTATTCTAACATTTCCCAATTTTAACCTTTATTATTTGCTGAATTTGTGGGGTTCTAATTAAAAGTTTAGATTTCCCACCGATTACTTCTAATTTTCAAACGTTAATCCGCTTATCGAGAAGTAGAATAGTGGCTCAGTGTTTAAATCGTTCAACTTTCAGTCATCCTATCTACTTCGGTTTGAGCTACGGGGATTTGTCAAAACTCTCACATTTAAAGTGTGTCCTTAAGTCAAGTAAATTATTCTGTACCTGCTGTATGAGTTAATAAAAAACGGCGTGTAAATAACAAGGTGGTATCATTTCCTTTATAGTGTAATTTAATACACAAATCTATGCTTATTTGCAGAATAGAAGTGTGTGTTGTGTTTTTGACTCACTATCTGGTCGATAAAGAATAGACTTTAGGCTGTAGAATCGCTCTGTAATTGTAATGAAAAAAGAACTATACAGATATTTATTGTCATTGATTAAAATCATACCAAATTTCAACTACCTTTTCTATTTTTAGTCGAGATTACACGAATCATTATAACTTGTACCATGTTCTTGTGTTTCAAACCACTGTTCAAGATGATGTCATCCAACTTAAAAGTAGTCCCACTTATAAATTTTTGTGATGCATCGCGTAACGTAATGTCTACGTAATCATCGAGAGTGACCTATTGTGTAATTAAGTAAGAAGTCAAGACAGTTCGACGAAGAAAATTTTCATTTTTACGATATCATTCACAAAGTCTGCAATCGTATTTTCAGTGACTTAGTAGATTTAGTAGTATATTAAAAAATTGAAAGTAGTTACTTCGTATAAGTTAAGACGTCATGGTGATAATAAAAATGACAAAGACATCGAAAGAAAATATTAACAAGTTTTCATAATATGAAAAATTAAAAGCTGTAGATCTGTGGTAAAATACAAATTCGAACGTGTTGTGTTTTTATACAGAGTTCTAGTTAGAACTGATAAATTGCAAATGCAATCAAGTCCAATCGTTTGACTGTCTAGATGATTTTGTAGAATGTTCTTGATAACAATATGATCAGAATTCACAAACATTTCCAATATACTGAGCTATTGAATTCTTTGCATTTTGTTGATAGTCATGCATAATAGTGCTCGGAAATGTATTTATAAGGTGCTCTGTTTTTACGGCTGATTCAACCCGATTCACGAAAGTAAATAAACTTATATATACACATTAACGTGACCCGAGGTAGAACTTTATCCTTTGCACATCAACGAAAGATAATATGAGGTTAGGTCGAACAAAACATAACACTAGATCACGAATATGACAGGTTTTTAAGTTGTTCCTTCTTACGTAAAGTCATTTTGTTATGTGTTTTACTTTGTAAATTATTCAAATTTCATTCCATCTATTAACAATTTACCAATTGAATATAATGAATAAAACGATCTCTTCTTACTCTCTTGTTTTTAAAATATTTTTTTAAAATGAAATTTCAATAAATTTTTTTATAAATCTATGGCCTAACTGTTGAAACACTCAATTTTCAACAGGTTAGACGATTGAACTTTGATTTATTCACTCCATACATCCTGCTTCTTTGATAAATTTAAATAAAGTGGGAGGATTAAGAATTATTGCAAATCTTATTCTTATCGATTCTTTTAATTCAATTTTTTCAATCCATATAAAGTCACTAGCCTTTAAAATCAAACATATGAAACTTACAGTAAAATAAGTAAACCACATTAAAGTGATTTTTATAATAAAAACAATTAAATAATATTAATAGTTGGACTCATGAGTCGATTTAAGCTAGATCACCATTGAAAATGTGGAAGAACTGCACGGCCATTTTGTCCTTGCATGGGACTCCTCACCAGTGCTCATCCACGATCCCTCACGCAAATGCTTAGCTTCTAGACCAATTAGCTGGCATGCGACGATGTTAATGTCTAACCTCAATCAATTCTGGATTTTTAATGAGGAGCCCTGACCAGTGGAGTTTAACCGTGTCTGTTGTGAGACAGTTACTCACTGGAGACATTGGTGAACGGTCGCACAATATCGTGGTCTAAAGGTTAAGCGTTTGTGCGCACGACCGACGGCACCGGGTTCGAGTCCCGCGTGCGGGATCGTGGATAAGCACTGGTTAGAAGTCCCATACTAGGTCGAAACGGCCGTCCAGTTCTTCCACGTTTTTCAATGATAGTCTAGTTCAAATCGACTCATGAGTTCAACTATTAAAATTACTACAATCTCCATAAACTCCCATTCTAAATAACATTATGCAATACTGAATATCGTCGTCTATGATGAACTTTTGTTACTCTGTAGGCAATGAAATCGTAATAACTTCTTTATATCTGTTATAATAATGAACTATATGATCGTTCAATTATAAAATTATTCGATTCAATTTAACTAATAGTAGACTTTCAGAATTGATGCTATATTCTTCCTCTACATTTTTTCTTACTATTAATATTATACGAAAGAGTGTTATAATGTGGTTTTTCTTTTCCAATTGCTACACAATAGTCATTGTGAATAAATAATATGGAAATTTTCTAAGGCGATCAGAGAATTATTATGTTAGAATGAATAAAATTAGGAAATTTTAAGATGGAATATATTCGAATACGATAAATCAAGTAAGGTTTAGATGAACTCTTTTAAGGAGTCTCGTACTAGAAAGGGACTAATGACCGGTGTTTACTGGTCTTTATTTTGGTGGAGTTTTGTTCTCTGTGTTGAATGGTTTAATCATGGAGCTTATAATGTTATTCTGAACGACATCATCGGCAGAATAACGATGAAAGCTCCACGACCAAACCATCCAGCTCAGAGAACAAAACTCCACAAAAATTATCCACCTGAGCTACAAATCTTCTCCATTTAGGTAAGTATAGAGCTCCTAATTAACCTCATTTGTCGCTTACCCAACCAGGTAGATTTATTATTATCGTGATTATGACCATTGTTATTGTATTATCACAAACATTCCTTTTAGTAAATTATTTATATCAAATATTCGTCGTTACTTTTATGATATACCATTCAAAACTATCGTTAACTATGGATTATTCCCCATTTTCTTCTATTCACTTTAGTTGTCGGTCACGTTCTAAACATCCACAATCTCATTTGAATAGTAGCTGCACTGATGACCAATCCGAAATTCTTATAGATGATAATTCTGAGAGCAATTCTAATTCTTGTAAAGAAACAGATAAATCATCTGATAAGCTATCTGTACGTATAATAAAACCGAAATACTCTGATCCTGAACTAGATGTATGCATTGAATGTGGATTACTTTGTAAATCTGGTCGTCGAATATTTGGTTTATCAGCTTGGGAAGCTGTTCGAGAAATGCGATTTCGTGTTTTTTGTGCTACACGTCTTACTTGTAGTGCTGGTGAGTTAATATTCTTATTTACTAGTTCTTTATGTAGTTCAGTCTTTAATGTTAGTTATTTGATTAGATAAATCTTCAACAAATATGGTTCAATTTGATCACACCCGACTATGAATGATCATGTAATCTTAATTTGGAATCATAGTCGCATGATTTTATTTATGTTTTAAAAATAAAACTAACCATCTATACTTAATAACATTGGACATAACTAATCTTGTCATATTATTAATTAAGGTCTTGGTCCGAATACATTGATTGCAAAAATCGCCTCCGATTGGATAAAACCATGTGGGCAACATGAAATCGCTAATACACTAGAAGCTGTCGATAAATTTATGCAAACTATGCCTGTGAGAAAAGTAAGTCTCGTTTTATCGATTTGTTTTTCATTTCGATTTGTACACACCTCACTTCACTTCAGCTGACTCCTAGCTTGTGTATACAATGTTGTATTACTTTTACCAATTGAAATATAGCTTCCAAACTTTAAAAAAATGGCGGTCAGTATCAAAAAACATTTTAAAAAATCATAATGATAACGATAATAATAGTAATATTAGAGTTGTGATTTGTGAAGTTCGTAGAATATTCATTGTTTAGATCACACAATGGCTAGAATAACACTGAGAACCTGATAGCACCGGACAGCAGTTTTGTCCTAGTAAGGGACTCCTTAAAAGTGGGAATCCACGAGTGAGACAGTTATCCACCACAGACAATAGGTAAGGGTTAAGCAATATCATGCACTGGCTGAAGCTAGTTGTTGATACCGATGGATGGTGGCTCAGTGGTCTGGAGGTCAAGCGTTTGTGCACGAGACTGACGGTCCTGAGTTCGATTCCTGGATGCCTGATCATGGATCCACACTGATAGGGAGTCCCATACTATTACGAAATGGTCTTCCAGTGATTATAAATTTGCAGTGGTGGTCTGGTTAAAATAATTTCGTCGTTTTAACTTTGAGAACAGTAGTTATGATAATAATAATAATAGAATATGAAATGAGAAAATGTATTAACTGTAATGGTTAGATTGATGAGAAGTTCAGTTATAAAATGACAGAACTAGTTTTAACAACAATGAAACTTGACTAAAATGAATGGTCAAATTGTAATTGTGTTTAAATTAAAGTTTGTAGGCTAGATGAAGAATGCTTGTAAAGGTTAAGCGTCAAAAAAGGAAAACTTTGAATACCTGGAAAAAGGAGAGAGCGAGTATGAAGGGAAGGATGGATGGCAATGAATCAGTCATCATGCTCGTGGTAGACGAATCAAGAGTTAATTTTGTATACCTAGATTTTGACCGAAAGAAATCGAACCACATATACAGTCTTTAAGTATCAGATACTTGTCCACTTTGCCAAACATTAACTAATCAAGTCACTCTTTTAGATTGCTTGTTTAAAAAAACAACATTTTGTAAATTTGATATTCAATACCACTTTTCTACCGTTATAGGTTCCAGGAATTGGACATGTTACAGAACGTCGACTAGATGCATTTGGAATTAAAACATGTGCTGATTTAATTGATAAACGTGGTTTACTCTGGCATGTAAGCACTAAAATATCAATGGTTTACTACATGCGTATTGCATTAGGACATTCTGATGATCGTTGGTTAATTAATGTAAAAAATCATTTTGATGAGAAGTCAAATAAACCTTTTGGATTTATTGATAATGATTCAGAAAATATCGTTCCTTCTGCACAAAGTCAAGTAGAATTGAATAGAAAGAGTATGAGTGTAGAAAGGTTAGTTTGGATAGTAAGTTCTTTATAGAACATTTGTTAGCTTGTAGTTTATCTACTTACACTTATTTGCAAATATAGATAGTTTGATTAGATTATGCAAATATTCATCTCTCATTCTCATATATCATTAGTTTTAATACTTAATATTACCAGACTTGTAACATTCATTGGTTTATTAATTTAAACTAGTCATTTCTATGATTTGTTAGTGTGAAGTTATACTTGAAGCGTATTATCAGTTGACTTACAATTAATAAATCGTAAGTTTGAACACTGTTATATCTTTGTCATTTTTAGAACCTGATTTATATAACCTAAGATAACCATTTTAAATATAACTAAAAGTCTACTACCTAATTCGTATTTAGTCAATAAGTTAAATTGTTTGTATTAATTTATAGTAAAATGTATTTAGAACAACTATTTTCCTGGAAGTATTTATGAAGAATATGTGAACCTATTGATTTATGAGTATATTCAGCTTAATCAATGCACTTCTATTCTAATACAAAGTTGTTTGTAAGATTTGGTGAATATGATTACGCATAATAACAATAATAAATAAATAAAATCTATTCAATCACAGTGAATCAGTGAGCAAAGTATGTATGAACCGTGCTGTGTATAATAATCATTTTCTTTTACAGTTAAAAATAAGATTTCTAGCTTTGTTAGCTGACTCCATTTGATGATGATATTGATGAAGTATTTCTCCATAAGTAGTATAGTATTATTCTGCATTATGTTTGAAATGTCTAGGCTATTCCGTAGCAACAGTAATATTATTTGTTTTAAGCTTAATTGTTAATTTAAAATTTTCTTGTTTATCCTCTCATTGTCAAAATATTTTCTAGTTTATTCTTTTTGTACCCAGTTAAGTTGTTGTTTTAACTCTGAGTTGTATTCTTATTGACAAGATTTTACTACTGACATAGTTTCTCTACATCAATTATTCATAATATTACACTTGAAAACGATCATGGTAATATGGTGAATTATGTTTGTTTTTTTAAATGCCAATGTTTATCAATCACATTATTGTTGTTACTTACTATTATTATTGTTGTTTACGTCTCTAGAACATTTTCAGATACATCAGATGAAAATGAATTAATGCATCGTTGTGAACAACTTGCTCAAATGTTATCAACTGATTTAAAAGAGGAACATGTCAAAGTAAGAAAATGTGTAATAATCAAGTTACATTTTACGTAGTATTACTGTTTAAAAAAAATTACTTAATATTGTATTTGTGTAACAAAATTTTATGATTCGTATATTCAATGTGAATACTGAACTAAGTCATTTGACATCATGGCGGATTAGATAATGTGACTTCGAATAAAAATTCATCATAGAACTGTTACTGACACTTTGAATACCTCATTGATACATATAGGTCTATTGATATCCAAGTTTAGAAACTCCCTTTGTGAAGATAATATTGATAGATTTTTTCCTCTTCATATAAATGTAGATTCAATTATCTTTTATATCTGTTTATAATCGGGAACGTAATGTGTACTTATGGAATCGCCTTTTTTGGTTACCTCCTTTAAACGAAATTAGACATTTTGTGAGACAGATCAATTGCGTATAGATTCATCAAAATCATATTATGAAGACTACATTTCAGGGTGATATAATTATCTTAATATGTCTCGTTTACTGCATGAAATCTGAAATTATATGAAATTAATACAGTATGTCATTTTATAATACTTTTGACCTTGTCAAGGCTAAGTGGAGGTGACGCGTAAAAGCCTCAGTACTCAAGTTGACGTGTGTCTCAAATGAAACTTGTTAATCCAGCTTATATATTACAAAGAGGTGCAAAGACGCGGTACAATAAATACACACATATATTATAACAATGACGACTATTTATGGGACTTTCAAGAAATTTTACTCAATATACAACAATGGTTCAAAATAGCCTAGAATCACTAACGAGCGCTAATCAGTAATTAAGACAAGCAATTAAAGCAAGATATTAACAGTATACCTAGATGATATAGGTTATCAAATGGTTTAAATCTCATTTCCTTGACTTAAACCTTCATAAAGAAGCAAAGCATTTATTCATAAACAAGTCTCAAATATATAGCTGGAGAGGCAAGAATAAAATGCGAAATTGATGAATTATTAAGGTAAAACGTCGAATCAAATATATAAATAGGAAAGGGAAGTGATAATGCAGTATCATAGGATTTTAATCATGTATGATTAGTCGGTCGGAATTATATCCTGTCTTCTTCTATATTTGGAAACTATTTATCGGATGTTGTTTCAGGATATTATTCACCTAAAATTGATGTTTACAATTATTTTAATGTAGTTAACAGTTTATATATTTTGAGACTGAACAATGTGACTCCTTTTGGATTACTCGGATCAGTTTACTGTGATTGATTTGCACATCATACAAAATAATTAGACAAGAAGAGATTTTGAACTAAGTATTAATTGAGGAATTAGATGTTATCCTTTTTATATATTGAACATATACTGTCAGCTCAATAATTACACAATTGTGAAATGCTTTGAGCTATTTCACTAACTATCTGCAATCACTCATCTGTTAATAAGGATACTACTATTACTAGTAGTAGTAAACGACCGTCGGATTTAGAAATAAGCAATTGTATATTTAAGTAAATGAATAGAAATTTATGATTTGTAGGAACTAGAGTCAAATCCCATTGGTTCAATTTAAAATTATGGTTAAAAAGAAACAGAAGAGATAGTTCATTTGTATTCGTTGTTTTAATCTTATCGATAATGTTTCAGGCTACAATAAACCATCCATCTCTGCTTATAATGATTGTAAATTGATGGCAATATCAAGGCAATCCACACAGTATGCACATAGGCGAAAAAATGACTTATCATTTTCAGTGCTAAATATCAATGGGAAGATTCAAACAACCAATATAAATAAATTAAACTTCATTGCATTACACAAGGTAGTAGCTATCTGAACTCAGTAGCTAAGTGAATAACGCGATGACGTTTGAAGAGAGTAGTGCTGGTTTCGAGTCATGGAGTTTACATCTACTCCGGTATTCAGGTATATCTAGCCTACGAGTCGCAAATAGGATAGATATGATATAAGATTTCTTATTTGCATGTCTCTGCTTAATAATTTAGTCTTTGTTTATTTAAACATTAATGAAATGAACAGATGAGAATCTTAATAGTGACATGATTACAGGAAATCATCTATTGTTCAGTTAATTGTATATATATTTTACGTAATAAAAATATGCTTGAATAAAATTAATTTTAAACAATTTTTGTAATTAGTTGATAAATTCTTTCGAAATGGATCAGCATTATTTCGAAATTTATGTAGAATTGTGGAATATGGAATAACCGTCTCGTTAAAACTTGAGAGTCTTCAATAATGTGTTCATTCATGGCTTCCTATAATGTCACGTTTAGTACCTTTATATTTTTTAGCAATCACTACGTGTTTAAATCGTTAAATCTGAATCCAGTGTTGGAAAGTTTCAGTCTAAGCCTTTTTCTTTGTATGAAAAAAATGTCTTAGGACTAAAAAATGTAAAATATATTTGTGTTATAGAACAGATATACTATGTCTAGCAGTCGTATCCAGGACACATGTTTCGTCCCGCCTGGGACTCATCATCCGGATACACTTGTAATTTAATGTTGATGTTAATATTGGTATTTAAACTCAGTGTATTTTGCATTAAACACCAAGATATTATCTATTGAGACACTGAGTTCAATCAAAGCTAGTGGAATGTTTGCTTTGTGTATTTTGGGTCTGCCGTAGAATCGAGGGAGTACTGAGCACTGAGTTCAAACAATCGCTAACATATTCAATAGATATGATGTTATGTATTATTATTATTATCGTTTTTATTCCACTCTCATACACTAATTCCTGTTTATTACTATTCTTTTTTATTATACACATTTTATATTCTCTATCTCTTCACAACCTCATTGTTATTTTGTGACGCATATGGTGCCCCATTATACCAACGTTTATGTGTTCAAATAAATATATCAATAAATCTTTGATTGTAAATTTGGTACAAACTAACAAATTAATGAAATAATTATATGCAATTAAGTATAAATTATCTTTAATTATGTCGTTCCAATTATGTTGGAAACGAAGTAGTTTTGATAATTGTAATTTTCATAGTAATTTAAATTACTTCCGTTCAAAGTTCTTCTGAATGTTTTCAATGGTGAATTGATTCACCTCAATATGTTGAATTAGAATTCTTTATTCTAACAAACTTCTTCCATACATTTTCTAAAGCAAAACTAGCAAAGATTTTGAACATATCATTTAAATCATTCTGTTTGTTGGTAACAAAAGTGATGGTCTCGCAACGTATATTTGACGATAAATCGTACTAGATAGATATTATTGAGTTTTTAGATGGAGATGCGACTATTCAACTTCCACCTTTCAATAGCAACCATTTTTGATAGCAAGTATAATGTAGGGGAAAAATCGATTACTTTTTCTCTTGATTGACTAAATGACAGTTTAAATGTATGTTAGATATTCTTAGGAAATGATGAAGTTGATAACTCACTCACTATGACAGTGTTAGAATAAAGCAATAAAAAGGTCACAGAATAGTAACAAAAGGAAAGCACACATAATTCGAGTTTGTGCAAACCATGTTGTAAGATGATTGGAACAGTAAATAAGCATTTAATTTCTAAGTAGAGTTGTTGGTAAATTCAGAATAATGAATTTTTTAAACTGCTAATTGCAATGCTGTCAAGGATAAAACCGACTTGTGGTAGACTCATTAAAGAACCTAACGCTATACAGTCTGCCTATAGATATTACTCATCATTGCAGCTGAACTGTTTGTTCAGAGTGAATTTCAGTATAAGTCGTTTTAAGTTAACATTAAGCATCCCCTATCAGGGGATGCCTAATGATGATATCCCATTAGTATCGATATAGTTCCAATTAAAACCTACTGTTTCTTATTAACGGTATATTCGTAAATAACCAACTATCATCTCATAAAGTTTTCATCTTATTGAAAAGGTCTACATTACTTACAAACTTGTCTAAGAATTGACTCACTTTTGTGAGTTATCCGCTTTTCAATTAAGTAGTACGGTGATCCAGCCACATCTCGAATAGGATGATTAACTAATCTATTCTTATATACTTTAGATAAGTTGTATAGTTTGGATATTCTAGAAGCTGATGATTTTAGGCTTTTTTTAATTACTCAGATTTTATTGCAAATGACTTTTTAATCTATAAACTATTTTTTTTCTATTACTTTCTTTATTAAACTTTGAAAAAGTACTAACATCCTGTAATGTATCCTTTATTTTATCTATATAGTTTAGCTAATCAAGTACTAATAATCCCGTTCATTTATCTGGACAGGTTATTAAAATGCTTTGATTCTTTCTATTAAGTTTTAGTTATTGAATGTTTTTTTAGATAAATCAATCTTACTTTCATGAACTGATAAGCGCATTTGAACACTGTTGATTTTAAGTATTCTAGTTCGAATTATAGAATTTGATCTCCGAAACAGAGTTGTTATTAACATTCTTAAAATGACCAGTAATAAAATCTTTTTGTATAGGTGTGTTGATAACACAACCATAATGTGCAATAAAACCTTCGGTATTTATGACACTCTTACATAGTGTTTGATTGATTTAGCGATACCCCTTCATCTGGCCTCAGTTTAAGTTATGTTACTATGACACATTATTAGCATCAGCCTTTATTTAAAGAATATTCACCCATTTTATTTTTTTCGCACATAAAAATCGATATTTATAAATATTATGTCTTTGGTAGATACATATATATTGTACTCATGAAAAATTGTCTTTTCGTTTGTTTAAGGGTCAGTTAATCACACTTAAAATGAAATTAGATACATTTGAAATTCGAACAAGATCACAACTCCTACCAGATTACACTAATCATACAGAGATTATCAATTCATTCGGTCGTGAATTATTGCGTGAAGAAATGGTAGCGTTTAAATCGAATACAGCTGTGAATAAACCACTTACTTTACGTCTTATGGGTAAGACGTTTATGGTTCCTTTTTTTCATAAAATTGACCTGAATCTATTTTTTTAACCTTATTTCCACAATAAATGACTAGGGAAATGTGTTTGGATTTCATAGGTTTCTGTAGTGCTTGTTTTCCTTTGCTGCTTTTCAGTCAGGTATAGTTGAATGTTTCGTACCACACACATACTGATGAGAGCTGCTAACACCATGTGAATGAAGTAGGTTAAACCGAGTTCGAACATGTAATTGGATGGATAATTTACTGATCCCATTTTCCTCAATTGCTTAAACTCTAAGATCAAAGTCCATTAAGCGTAGATTAATTTAATGAAGTTATCATAGATTAAAACATCCATAGTTTCATGGCGCACAAAACAAGCTATTTTAAAACATTATCCAAACTAGTTATCACATTACTGAAAGAAAAATAATGTACGTGCAACATTTCAATATGACAAATATTTTAATTGAGTTCATGAACCGATCGATGTTAGGCCACCATTGAAAGCCTGTAATAACTGGACACCCGTTTCTTTCTAGTATGGGACACCTCAGCAGTGCATATCCACGATCCTGCACGCGGAATTCGAACTCAAGACCTTCGATCTCGCGCGCGAACGCTTAACCTCTAAACTTCCAATTTTATCAAGAAATTTCCATTAAAATATTGATCTTCAGATAAATATATAAAAAAATGATACTTTTATCTGTAAATATCATACTAGAAATTAACAGTCGTTTACTCAAATAAACTAACAAACATTATTAGTAGAAAAAGTTCTATTTATAGTGAAGTATTGTGTATGACAAATACTGAACACGGCGTGGATTCTATGCTGAATTTCACAGATTTAGAGAAAGAAGGGAGTTGTAGTTTCAAATTTGATAAAATATAGTTTTTTCAAACTCGGGATCAGCTCTTACATGAATGGGATATTTCGTAATAATAATAAATAAATGAGATCACAGAAATGTTAAGCTTAAAACGTTAGAGACGGTAAAACGTTAATGTTCTGATTGTGAGGGATTATCGAGATTAGTTTAATTTATCGAAGGTTCTCTATGTGAGATTTAAATCAATCAGGATACTATTGAAACCCAGGTTCATTGTACAAACATATTTCGTTCTAGTATTTGGAACTTCACCAATGCATAATCATAGCTCCATCAAGGACGGAAACCCGGACCTTTTTTGGGCGATGTTTGATTGTGTGAGAGTAATTTGAAATGAAGCTTGAAGCGGCTATACTAAAACATGGCATCAGTCAATAAAACCATTGATCGTCGTTTGAACCGTATAGGTATGTGCAGACTATTTGCTTTCTCCAACTTGATGATCAGATGATCAGTTATTGCTTCCATAGTTTTTGAAAGTTAATAAACAAGAACGGTTAAAAAATAGATGTAGAGACGTTTTTCTGTGTCGATTTAGTAATAAAAAATGTAGAAAATAAGAAAAAAAACTCATTAATTTGTACTCCTTTTGTTACCATTTTTCTAGGCCTACGCATGTCCAACTTATTACCAGTGGAAATGTGTCCACAAATTCGTCAACGTAGTGTTGAGGAAGCTTTTATGTTTGCAATAACAAGCAATAATACTAGTTCTGAAAAAAATCCCAGTACAATTTCTAAAACTCTGTTACACACTGAAACATCTATTAAATCGCATAACATGATAACTTCACCTAAATCAGTTGAATCAACAAAAAATAGACTGAAAAAGTTAACAAAGTCTAGTCAGAAAAATGATAAAAAGAAAATGGTCGGTTGTAATTCTTCTTCATTGGTAAGTTAGAATAAAACACAACTTGTTTTAACCTGTTTATTAAGTAATAGTCTGATAATCGTTCATAGTAATTACTTCATGTATCAAACATTATGTGAACTACTAAGTAAGCATTAAAAATATGTTTCACAAAAGTTGGACTGGGCCGATTATTATATTTTCTTTAAAGTGGTGACATTTATTAAATGGTCAACTCCTATTTGAAATCGAACCAATATTAGTAGTATTAATAATTTTCGTTTTATTCATTACCGTCTGTTTACTAACTTGCGTCACAGGTGAAGTGTCCTTCTACCAAAAAGAGAGCGAGTATGGTACTCAGAAGTTCATTCTATTATTACCTTATGACTGTGAAACATAAACTTAAACATAGAAAATGCGTGTAGGCTTCAGGTTCTTGATCCTATATGTGTTCTAAGTATTTCTTGCTTTTCGTGAACAGTGTTGAAGTTAAGCATATTGTTGGCTAATGAGATCGTAAACCTTCATAGACTGAGATGATTAGAACTTATGTTACGTTTAGTTTAACCACTGCCTACCTTGACGTAGGTTACTTGCTGGTGTAGGCGTGGTTCGCCATGGCCAAACCAAGACAGCATCAATCCATGAAGTTATTTGTTAGTTTGAGCTGTGTTGGTAGATGCAGATTATCTGGTGAGGTATCGCATTTCAGAATCGTTGCTGAAGAATAGATTCATGATTGGTTTTATATTGCTCACTGATTGAGCTAATATTATTCAGTTATACAAACCAGATTTTACTCATTTCAGTATAAAATATGTTAGTGGTGCACTTGGGTTATAATATAGTTTATGAATCTGCTAATTGTTGGTTTATCTTCCCATTTTATAAATTCATCCTGTTTCATCTACTACAGTACTTATGACTCATCACTTACTCTATTGCAATGTATATGCATAATGCTTTGCGAAACTTCCTTCTCCTGGGCTACCACTTAGAACTTTGGGATATAAGACGATTAATTAGAAGTATCTTATGATTTCTATTCAAAATTCGTACAATTATACAGATGAAACTACAATGTACCATCTCATTATTTATATGACAGATTCTTTATATAAAATTTAACACGGAGTTCAATCAAACGTATTTTAGTCTTTGAACATATCAAAGTAGTCAGTTTCAAAGAGATATGACCATCTTGTTCATCTTTTTTTGACTTTTTTTTTCCTAAATGATCAATAAACCATTTAGTGTTGTTCATTAACTATCATAGATACTTTCAAATTTTTTATCGCTCAAATTATTCAGATTACACAATGGACTAAACCTTCTCCATTAACTAGAGATAATGAAGTTAGTTCACCATCTTCATTTATCTCATTAAATTTATCGCTTGAATCGTCATTATCATTGTTAGCATCATCTTCATCTTCTAATAACAATACTGGTTACTTTTTTACATGTCCTGTCTGTGAAAGAGATTTTCAATTTTCTTCAGAAGATAAGGTTAGTCAGTTTAAGTTTACTTAATTGAAGCAAATATATTTAAAGAATTTGTTTGTTTGTTTTTCAAAGAAACAAAATATCCTTTACTTCTAACAGATTTGTTTAAATCAAGGTCATACATTATGATTTTGATAAATTATTTAAATAACTGTGTCAATAAAAGAAAACTTTTAAATTGCTTTTATATATTACGATAAACAAGTTTCTGTCGTGTTATTCCTTCTTATAACCCGTTAGAGTTTAATACATAAATTGATCATTAAACAACTTAGTATACATTCCAATCTTTCTATGAAATTTACGATAATATATTGGCAAATATTCAACTTATTTAATCAATTACAATAATAATGTGATATAACTATAATCATCATAAGTAACAAAGCGATGAAGTAGAAAAAAATGTTTATCATTTGTTTGATTTTAAGATTAGGTGTTTGTGAATACTATCATTTATCTCACTTACTTACGCCTGTTACTCCTAATGGAGCATAGGCCGCCGATCAGCATTCTCCAACCCACTATGTCCTGGGGCTTCTTTTCTAATTCCATCCAATTCTTGTTCATTTTTCTCCTGTCTATCTCCATTTCCCGGCGTAATGTGTTCTTTGGTCTTGAGGATTCCATATGAGGGCTTGTCTTGTGACGCAGTTGGGTGCTTTCCTCAACGTGTGTTCTATCCACTTCCAGCTCTTCTTGATTTCTTCCTCCACAGGGACCTGGTTTGTTCTTTCCCACGGTTGGTTGGTGTCCGGTCAACGGATCCGAAGCATTTTGCGTAGACAACTGTTAATAAACACTTGCATCTTCTGGATGATGACTTTCGTAGTTCTCCTAGTTTCCGCCCCATATAGTAGAACTGTCTTGACATTTGTATTGAAAATCCTGATCTTGGTATTAGTTGCGTTCCAGATGTTCTTCAGTTGTAAATATGCTGCTCTTGCTTTACCGATCCGCGCTTTCACATCTGCATGAGATCCACCTTGTTCATCAATGATGCTGCCCAAATATGTAAAGGTTTTTACATCTTCCAAATCTTCTCCGTCAATTGTGACTGGATTGGTGGATGCTTTATATTGTATGCACATTCTTTCATTGTTTGCTTTTGCAGTGCAGTTTAAGTAATCGTGCTAAGATGGTCGCACGAATAGTCAAATTTTATTAGAAAAACTAAAATCTCTTCAGGAACGATCACCACTTTCACATCTACGAATTCAGCTTTTCGCACGACCTTTGTCCTTTGATTAGTTGTTATGATCTTTTCAGTTCGCTAAATTGGACCTATTTTGTTTGAGTTGTTTTTCTTAACATAAATATCATGTTACCTGCAATTCGTCTTCCTGTGTTAGCAGTCGAGGTTTGATGTGTTGAGTATAATTGACTGTTGTCAGTTCCGAAGAGAATCAATCATATTACAATAGTCCAGTCGTTTCACGTTCTTAGATCCGTAACGTCTTAGGCCATATTGAACCCCAAAAACAAGACACAACAATTTATGAATTACAATTTGTGGTCTGATGTCAAATTTGTCCTTATCTTTCTTTTGTAGCTATCGTTTAAATCGTAGTACCGCGTGACATTTTTGCTGAATTTCCACTCAATTTTAAGAAAATGTCCCTGTCATATAAACAGATGACCATTAGTTCTTTCAATAAATCTGAGTAAACCAAGATTACTGGACTTTTATAATTATTTGAAAGAAATTTCACCTAAATTTGAATAAATATTTTCAGTAGTTTTATAGTTTAATTCATGAGTCAGTTGAGGCTAGATAACCATGGTAAACCTGGAAGTAATAGATACCCGTCTCGTCCTAGTATGGGACTCCTCAGCAATGCGCATCCACGATCCCGCCCCGCGATATTTGAACCTAGGATCTATCAGTCTCCCGCGCGAACGCTTAACATTAGGAAGTAAAATCATATTCATAAAGATTTAAGTGATTAAATAAATTTATTAAAAAGCCAGTCAGAAGTAATTTAATTAGAAAGTCAACCGATGGCAATCATAAGTGATCTAAAGATCAAATGCATCTCATTGGGGTCAATGGGTCAATTCCCTAAGGATAAGATGGTATATGTATTAGTATTTGTGCATTTCATTCGATAATCCAATACACTTTCTCACTCTTGTGTTCTTGCTCAAGTAGTCAGTTGGGAGAGGTTTTGCAGGTAGCATACTGTGTATCAGTATTATATTTTATATTTCTACATGAATATACTGTATCTATCGTTATATATTAATTTCACCGGTTTTCAATTCAAATTATTTCAAAACTGTTTCTATTCATAGTTCAATTATCATTTGGATGAGTGTTTAAATAGATCAACTATTTTAGAAGTAGTCAAAGAGACTTTGACTGATAGAGATTATTGTTCAACTACTATAACACAGTCTAATCATTTGAATTCATCATCAGATGATATTGGTATTCGGTAAGATAATTTGTTGAATTGAATCATATATCTATAAATATATTTCTTATTTAACAATTCAGTGACTAGTCATGTTTCAATGATAATTTATATTAAGGGCATTATGTTTCCTAATCGAATCTAACTTTGTTGTTTATTATTTAATTATTCTCTTTATGTAATTTTAATCATTACACTAATTGATCAAGCGTAAATGTCAACTGTTTCATATGAAGTTTATGTAAGTTGTATCGTTTAATTATGAAATTAAAATACATAGTGATTAAAATTATTTCTATGAAGGGGAAAAATGGAAATGAAAGAAACTGAGTGAGATGAGTTATGTAATTAATTTAGTTGTTTTTACTTATAATATATGAAACTATGATAAGGGTATATGATGGTATGTTAGAAAATTCTACTTTTTGTTATTGTTACTGGAATGAAAACTTACACAATGATGCGCCTGTTCTCAAACTTTCGAGAAGTAGATAAATCATGAAATATAAATAAAAGTGATTAAGTCATTCATTAGTTACTTGGATATGAGCCATTTCTCTGAATCAAGCTATCATATTCTAAAGATAGTGTAGAAAGCGAAATAGATACATTAAAGAACATATTACGAAATAACAGCTATCCAGATAATTTCGTCAGAATAATCCTAGTAGAAGGTAACAAAAAAAAGAAGAAACTGTAACTCAGTCAGTTAAAAAAACCTGTATGTGGAACTGAACTTAATAGGGGACATAGCCGGTGATATTTTATCACGTCGACACAAATGATCTGTTGAAAGGACGTTTCATGCTGTCAAGTTACATAAAAATTTTCTCAACTTAACCAGTACCTATACAACAAATCAAGGATAGGTTATCGACGATGGGCTTTTCCATGTATGTGTACCAATTAAACTGCTCCTGTGAAACTAGTTATGTAGGCCGTGCCCAGAGGGCTTTATTCTTGCGTGTTCGTGAATATGTACCAGCATGGTTGGAAAAAAGAGTTGCTCAATCGATTAACCGTACTATTCTTTCTCACTTGGTAGATGGTAAACACGATAATAAAAAAGATAACGCTTTCTCTGATTTTTATCAATTTCCAAAGAATCGACCTCAGGAAGCTAGACTACGGCTACTCTATATGGGCAAACCCATCTGGATCGACTCCAGAAAACCGGACTTATATATTTAGAAAAGATATGTCCAGTCTCTAAGTTTATCTTGACTTACGACTGGATCACCAGATACCTAAGCTGAATACTATTAGCCTCTCACCATCTTCCGGTTTTTTAATTATGTTCTTTCTAATCTTCACATCCATCTTTCCCAATTCACATGGATCCTTTTTTATCGTAAGCACCTTGATAACACGCCACTTATTGCATATTATATTCACACAACGATATTATTATTATTTGTTATTATTATTATTACAATTGCTATTAGCATTATTACCTCAATTAACAAAAAGAATTTCTACTACGCATTTTGCTTATACGATTTCTTTTTTCATTTTATCATATTACTATTTTACTGATTGTGACTTGACACTTAAAATCATTCTAACGTTTACAGTTTATGTATAACACAATTTTGAGGATTTTATGTCCTAACAGATGCAAACGTTCGCTAATTTTAAAATATAGCTGTTATGAGGCAGTTACTCACTGAAGACAATGATGGAAGGTCGAACAATATCGTGAATCGGTCGAAGTTAAAGTTTAACAACATTGGATGCCGGCTCAGTGGTCTAGTGGTTAAGCGTTCACGCGCGAGACCGAAGGCCCTGGGTTCAAATCCCGTGTGCGCGATTGTAAATGAGCACTGCTCAGGAGTCGCATACTAGGACAAAATGGCCATCCAAGTCTTCCAGTTTCTCAATGGTGATCTAGCTTAAGTGAACTCATGAATTCAACTATAAAAATCACTACAATTTCCACAAACCCTCATTCTGATATAGATATTGTCAAATTCATTAATGCATGCTTTATTTTGACCTTTGTAAAATGTCACAATTATGGACTTATATCTGTAGAGGTTGATGAAGATATTGAAAACTATTGTTTACTTAAATATACTTCATTTTTGAATAAATCACTTTTTCTCAAACCATACGTTTATTATAACTAAATGACCGTGATTTTTACGTGTAACTTTGAGATCATATTGTTTCTATTATAGCACCTCTCCTATATTTATTAACGCCTAATTTTGTCGAGCCCTTTTTAAACATATTTGATAGTCTTATTTGAATAGTAAAAATTTGTCTATTTCTTTGTATTGATATTATTATTATCATGTTTATATAAACATGTATGCTTGGTGATAAATGACAGCCTACGCATATATTCCTCACTCTACCTTAAAGGTTAGCTGGTTGAATTATCACTCGATAAATCATTCTTATATATATATATATATATATATATATATATATATGAATCGACTCGACTCTGAGTTCGCCTCAATATTCGATTCATCGCACACACTAGCTATTTTGCTCAAATTCTCTTGGCGTGCTTGTAATTCGTCATCTGCTCTATCCAACAATAAACTGTAGTAGGCGCTACATGTTTTGTTTTCTGAATTTGTGTACCGTTAAGATTTATTTAATGACGTTTATCCAGATGATTGATAGACGAAGCCTAAAGAATTATCTCGAGGCCAAGGCACTACACTATCCATTCATTTCAGTTCATGTTGAAAAAGCTTGCACATTTTTTTACTTTATATTATTCATACCCAATTATTGAGATCAACCTCTTGAATCAATGTTGTGGTTTGCTTTATTATCTTTATTAAGGTGAATTACTTTTTTCCTCTAATAAATTCCTATCGTTTTTCTCTTTTTCCTTTTTTTTCTATGATATATTGTTTGAAGAAAGGCGAAATCGCAAAAACTTGAAGTTAAACAATCCAAAAACAGTAACATATCAACAACGAAGACCATGACGACAACAACAACAACTTCTCATGGACCTCTTGATAAATTTCTATTTAATTCATCTACTGTACATTTTGATTAAAATTATACATGGAACTCCTAAAATAGAAAATCATTTACTACTTCATCATTGTGATTATGATCATTTGAATAGTTTCAATGGTTAAAATATTTTACAAACTCTATATTATATTTCTTATTGTCGTCTTCCATGAACTAGGCGGTAAACCAACGGTGAAATAGTTCGTTTAAATTTTGAAGTTAAAATTAAGATAAACCCTGAGTTTCTTTTATTTATCATCTTGCATTTACAGTCATTTTTCATGTTTGATTTTGGTTCATAATGAACTATAGTCTTTGTTTTGTTTCTTTTTTTGATACTAAGGCGATAGAAAGTCATCAATAATTTCTAGTGATTACATTTCTATTTTTATATTATTTACCAACGATATTTATGTATATAACATTTTATCATAGATTTACAAATAAATTTCCCTACTGATCTGGTTCATATATATATACATATACTGATAGTCAGTTAGTCAGCTACAGCGTAGGACCAGGCACATATATGCATCAGTCCAAGTTCCCATACCATATTAGCACAGCAGGATGAACACCGGATTCACAGGAGTAGTTAAGTCAATGGTGGTAATATATGAAAGATAGATTGTGTATAGAGATATAGTACAGAAGGAAAGATCGAGTACGTAGGAAAAAAAGATATGAAGCGATTTTAATCTCTTCGTTTAAGGGAAGATAGAGAGTGTATACACCGACGCCATTGTGATCGATTCTGAGCCATGTCACCAAGAGTCTCCAACCATTGATTACGATAGTTACGCGGACCCTAACCAAGTAGTTTTCATCTACCAACCTGGCTCAGACTAGAAGTTAGTAACTTCAAGCACTGATGCCATGTTTTGGTTTGGCCTTCCCTTACTTTCTTCCAACCATCCCCAACACCGGTTAACATTGCACGTCATGGTAATCGGTGTTCAGGCATACTCAACACGTGGCCCAATCATCTCAGGCAATGAAGATTCACATTATACTGATTGAGTCTTTGTTTTATCGATTGTAATGTACAATAATACCTTATTAATAATGATTATAAAGCCATATCACTATCCTATTAGAATCAACACTAAGTTGATTGAATTTCAAACCAAGTTAGGTTATCGTACACCAGAGGTTATTAAAAGATCACTAAGAATCTCCCGAGTATAGATAGACTGAAAGATTATTCAAAACGAAGGCAACCGGAAATACATGTGTTAATTTTAAAGTGTTTGGTTTTATCTTCACGTTCAAAATAAAAAGTTGTGTACAAATTGTTTAAGTATTTGGCAGATTGGTATTATGAAAATGAAGAATCATTTAGTACAGAGATGTTTCTAAAAATTAAATCGAAATTCATAGAATTAATAGGTGGGCGAGTCTATAATTTTTGAACGAACCAATCAGCGATAAGATAACAGGACTTGGATTTTGGCACGAAATTTATTTGTCCATTTGGCTAATTAGTGTCTTGGCATTTCAGTTGATGTCATCTCGTGATAAAAACATTAAATTAAATTCTTAACACTAATTCTAATTCCCCACACTAATTTCCAACCCTCATTTGTCCTAGTTAGTAGGTTAACATTCTCAAATTCACTCAAAACGTCGTCCATAAATTATAGTCTCAACAACCGGTGTTCAACAATTTATCCTATGAACAGTACAAGTATTTGGTGCCGACATTCATTATAATCAAATCCAAAAACAATCATTGTGGTAGAAAATTTTATAATAGCGCTATCTTTGGTTTAATGAGTCAGTCATTGTTTATGCTGTTCTTATATGCTGATTTTTGACTTCATCTGTATTAGTAGGTTAACTGAAGGAATCGAAGTATAACCATGGAGAAGATTAATTCAGTTAGTGTTCTAGTTTGATACAGTTTGCTTAAATATGGCTCATTTAGTTGCGGGGAGATTTTCTCTGCCTGATTACTGATAGTGTTTTTGTTTTAGCGATTATAATTTACAGGAATGACTTAGACTGTTCAATGATTCTAACTAGAGAGACAAGCTGTTTACATTCCATTCTGATGATAAATAGCTAGAACATCAAGTTGATTGTTCGTCATTTATTTGATGCTATATATTCAGTTGTGTTTTACCTAACAATATATAAACTGATCTGTAATAGAGATATATTGTACCTACTCCTCTTGCATTTATCAAGTTAATCTATTCGCTGTTTAAATCTTTATGCAGTAATTGGTATTTGTGTTCAGTACATCTATCTTAAACTGATTACTATCGTTCAGGAGGACTTACATTCATCCTTATTAAATCTATATAGTTATCTAGCTGACCAACAGTTTCTCTCTATAAGCAGATGGATGGTTTATCTCTATTTGTAAGCTGATTATCGTGGAGGTCTTTAAGGTTGTTTCACAGATATCGTGACCTTTAATTTGATGTGTATTAGATATTACAGTTTTATTTTAGAATCAAGTCTGGCTAGGAAGTTTCAGCTGGTGTAAACAAATCACATATTTGGATTATCGAAATCAATTATCTATTAAAATAAAGCACTATAACCATTATTAACTTATAATGATTATACAAAAACCTTATAATTCGCTGATTGTTAGTCTGACGCATAATTTTATTTTACTCACTTATGCCTATTACTCCTCATGGAGGAGCATAAGCCACTCACTAGTAAATTGTATTTTAGGGTTTTCTTAATTGTATCTATCATATAACTTTCAATCAGTTTATTGTTTTTAAGTACATTTGTCATAACTGATAATAATAACATAAGGTTATTCAAATAATAGTAATATGAATCAGGTGAGTTTATTATGATTGGCATTAATGGATGACATAAAATAACAGATTAGCACCGAACGATCCATGTTCAAGAACTTCGTTCGGTCTTGATATCTTATTTCCCTTAATTTAACACGAACTGTAAACCTAATGACTGTCTAGATATGGACTTAAATTTAATAAAAAAAGGGCAATATAAAACTAAAATATGAAGAAATGGAGAACTACTTGCCAATATTTAGTTATCTGTAAATTACGTTTAATATGAAATTCATATGTTTTATATTTCATTAGTTAGTTAGTGAATAATAGACATTATTAAATCATTTCTAACATGTGATCATAACTGACAATTCATTAAGTAAAACTAGACATAATGTTTTAACATTTAGCACGAAAATAAGATGTTAATAATGATAGTAATAATAACAAGACAATGTTTAATTCATTTTTGTGTTGGTTGTTTGAATCTTCCGATTTACGTTTAGGACTGTAATTATTCAGTTTCTTATTGACATATGTGATTCTTGGCATCGAGTGCCTGAGTGAACATCAACCCTGAGATACAAGTCCACCCAACTGACGAGTCTTAAATAGGACGAAACGAGTGTCTTGGATCCCATTACTAGCTATTTCTGCCTAAAATGACATTTATTTATAAATTGCAATTTTATAGACATAATCATCCGATATATATTTATCATTATAATACAATTTGTTATTTTCACTTTATTATTCAAATGATTTAAAATTTTTATAAGGAATTTTACCTTTATTATTTACTATTTAGTTTAACTATTCTGTCAATTGACTTTATAATGGTTATTTGGTCTGATTTAATTCAAATGGTGTCAAGAACTTTGTGAGCGTAAATAATAACTGATTATTGGCTAGACAAAATAAAGTAAATAAGTTTTATTCGTATGCTAACTACTTTGTGTTTTTTTTTGGCAGTACTTCAGTTTGACGCGAAGCAAAAAGATAAACGACCAGCAAGCTAAACGTCTCATACAACTATGACCAAGATATGTTGTTTTCATTCACGGTATCAACAAGATTTGGACTGCAGCAACATTAATCTCTATGATATTTTACTGTCATATTATAGCTGTGATTTGGTAATATGCAGTATTGGGAATATATTAGTCTCAGAAAAGCATTCCATTTAAGATCTGAAAACAGTTTTATGAGCTAACTTTTGAAATATTGTTTGTGAAAATTGCTGATCTATAGGTACCATTAAATTTGACACTGTTCGATATTAAGTTGCATGTCTGTATGTAACTAATTTTTCTGAATCAATCCGTTTAGGAAGACAAGTCTGCACATAATTATAAAACGAGGTGTGTTTGATATACCATGAAATATTGGACTGAGCCATGTTTATCGATGTAGACTATCTGGTTGATGTTCTTATAATTATCTTAATGAGTGAATAGAGGCTTTGAATGACATCGCCCGAAATCGTTTAAAAAGAGGCAGGTGCATCTACTCTTTGTCTTCAAATTCTGAGCTTATAAATTCTTCATAGCTATTTTTATGCTTTCATTTCATTAATTTATATTTGTTTGAATTTTATCTTTGGTACCTAATCTTTTCTATCACCACTAATACTGTTACTATCTCTAGTATTTTGGGATTTGGTCTGACGAATTTATCTCTCTATGCTAATGAGGTATGGTAATTTGAATTGATGCACATATGTACTAGGTTGTACGTTGCAACTAACTGACTCTGAAATATAGGATTATAAGAAGTAATACAGAATCATCGAAACTTCTATACACATCCATTTCGTAAGTAGCAGAATCATTTTGTATTGGGAGCTAAATTCCTTACTTTTAAGCGCACTAAACTTTAGAGCCACATACTCCTTCATACTAAAGGTCTTGAGACATATCTAGTGTGTAAAAGATAGACAAACTACCATTTATTTAGTCAGCTTTCTTAAATGGAAGTCGGGTTCTGGAACATTTAGAAAAATAACACTCACTATTTGGTGATAAGAAGGTATTCCATAGGTATTCATTGCTTTCTCGTTTTCGATATCTTTCATACTGATGTTGATTCGCGATAAGAAGTATTTTCTCAAATTATATATCTGAAGATAAATTTTAATACGAAGAGTTATGTACGTAATTTTTCTGGTGTTACATAATTCTTTTTGCTGGTATGTTTTCACTTATTCGGTATGATCATTTTAATTAAGAAAGTTTATATATATTCAGATTTTCTGAAAAGTATCATGATATTATACCTAATGATCATATGGAACTTCATACTGCATTACGTTTACTAAATTCATAACGAGGAGGTCCATTTTTATCATCATTTTTGGTAAAAATTTCATTGATTTTTGAAAATATTTCTTTGAATTTCATACTTGGATGAAAGTATACTTTAGCTAAAATTTCTTAAGTAGAACAAGAACAAACATTGATGCAGAATAGTATGAATTTATATTATTTCGAAGTCTCTCGTCAACTGCTTACAAACCAAAATTATGATTTTTTTTACATGGAGATAGTGTGAAACAATTGACATAAATGAGTGTAAATAACTGGATTATAATAATAACTATATATATATATATATATATATATATATATATATATATATATATATATGTGCTAGAAACAGGTCAGAGGTCAAAAGAGGGGGTTAATCCAGGTTG